GGAGGATGCTCCTGCAAATGGAAGAAGAAATAAAATTTTCAAGAAGCAGGCAGAGTGAATGTAGCTTGGCCGATAAATGTAAACAATCAGTAATGATCTCACCTCTTGATCTAAACATACATTGCAAAGCTGTGATAATCAAAAGAGCATGGTATTGACACAAAAAAGATATGAGGATCAATGGAACAGAATAGAGGTCCCAGAAATAAACCCCCAAGCATGCAGCCAACTGATATTTGACAAAGGATACCAGTCAATCCAGTGGTAAAATGAAAACCTCTTTAGAAATGATTCTAGAAAAACTGGATATCCACCTGCAAAAAGATGAATCTGAAGCCCTATCTCTCACCTTTGACAAAAATAAACTAAAGTGGATCAAAGACCTAAACATAAAATCTTGAACTATAAAACACCTGATGGAAAGCACTGGGGAAATTCTGGAGACACTGGAGTAGAAAAGACTTCTTAAAAAAGAACCCTCAAAGCAGTCAATAATACCAAAAATAGACGAGTGGGATTACATCAGATTAAGAAGTTTCTGCATGGGACCAGCAGTTGGCATAATGCCTATGTCACAGGGCTCCCATTTAGTCGACTGTGGTTCAAATCCTGGACTCAGTGGCTTAAATTTACGCTGGGCATGTGTGCATGTGTGCCCAAGATCCCAAGAGGAAAATAGAGGAGAAGGGATTGTGGTGTGGCCATCCCTCAGGGGTGATTTCTCACTTTCTGTCTCTCTGTCTCTCTCTGTCTTTCTGGTGAGCACACACTCCCTATACCAAAAACCTCTCCAAAAAGAAAGAGAAGTTTCTTCAAAGCAAAAGATACAGTTATTAATGTGAATCAGCACCCCTCAGAATGGTAGAATATTTTTGTAAACTATGCATCACATAAGGGACTGATAACCAGAATACTCAAAGAACTCAAGTGGCTTACCCCCAAAAAATGATCAATTCAATCAAAACAGAGGAAAATGAGCTGAACAGACAACTCATTAAGTATTACACAAAATAGCCAAACATAATACAAAAAAAAAAAAATTTCAACATCCCTCATTCTAAGGGAGATTTTGATGAAAATCACAATGAGATATCACCTAACCCCAGTAAGAATGAGTAATATTTATTTTATTTTTTATTATTTTTATTCTTTTCTAAACATTTGATCTCTATACATCATTTGGCTTCTAAAGAGAATTTACCCAATATGAAATGTATCTTAGACTATTCTGGTTGAAAATACTATAACATATTATCATCAATAGGTAATAAACCATTTTTGTGTTCCACAATGTTCTCACCATTCTTACACACTATCTCTAGCATCTGTAACTATTTTCATTGCTTTTATGCCTTGTATTAAGTGGAGAAATTCAGTAAATTTCTTTTGTAGCCTGATTTGTTTCATTCAGCAATAAATCATATTTAGCCACTTTCTATCAAATACCATAATCTTTTTTTCAGCTAAATAATATCCCATGGAGTATATGAACCAACATTTTCAATCCATTCCTCTGTTCATGGACATATGGATTGGTTCCATGTCTTGGCAATTGTGAATAATGTTGCAATAAACATTGATGTGCAAGCACTTTTCTGACTGAGCATTTCCCTGTTCTTTGGGTAGATACCCAAGAGTGGGATTGCTTGATCATATGGTCATTTTATTTTTATATTTTGAGGAATCTCCATATTATTCTCTACAGTAGCTGGACCAATTTAAATTCCCACCAGCAGTGTAGGAGAGCTCCCCTTTCACTACAACCCCGCCAAACTTTATATTTCTTTTGTATTTTTAATCTTTGCCAGAATGACTACAATTCAAACATTTAAAAAATGGTAAGTGCTGGCAGGACTGTGGTAAAGGGCAGACTCTTCTACACTATTGGTGGGAAGGTTAATTGGTTCAGCCACTCTGGAGAACAATATGAGGGTTCTTTAAATATCTACATATGTAACTACCATATGATCCAGCAGTTCCACTTCTGGGTATCTGCCCAAATACAGGATAACACTCAGAAAAGTCCTTGCACATCTATGTTTTTAGCAGCATTATTAAAAACTGCTAAGACATGGGACCAAACCAGATGTTCATGATGAACGGATTGAAAAAGTGTGGCACATATACTCTATGGAATGATACTCAGCCATAAAAGACAAGAAGACCCTGACTTTTAATAGAAAATAGACAGTATGGAAGATTTACTGCTGAATGAAGCAAGCCAGACTATGAAGAGAAACATTGCATGTCTCCACTTAATATATATTGCTGTCTTCACTCTATTGTGGAAACTGAAAGATTAGATCATACGGTAGCCTAGAAAATAGTTATGGGTACTGGATAGAGTGTGAGAAGAGAGTGGGAGAAGGGGCATAGTGTGAGGAAAGAAATTAAGGAGAAAAAATAGGCTTTTATGGGACACAGAAATGGATTAATATCTGTTGATTATCATGTGTATAGGATCCTCAACTGGACTGCTGTGAAGTGCATTCATGTTGTGAAAATTCACTTTACAAGCTAAGTGATGTATAATGATTGAAGGTATAAAATAAATTAAAATAAAATTAAATATATATTAAAAATATTAAGTATTAGCACAGCATGCTGCACTGTCAGACATTCACCACCTTTCCATGTCTTTACATGTATTATCTCTGTACATGTCTGTGTCTTCATTTCCTCTTACTAGAGGACATGGTCAGATTGGATCATGACTCACCCAACAACTTCAATCTCTAAGTAAGAGGTGTCTTTAAAAAGTTCATGGAAAATGCATACTGAAATAAACTTGTTTTCAGCAAAATAAAATTTTACTTTCACTCAAAAAATAAAGGAATAGCCTATGGGACATAAATGGTTTATTATCTGTTTATGATAATGTGTATAGTATCATCAACTCACCTGGTGTGAAGTGTATTAATTTTGAAAAAATTCACATTACAAGAGAAGTGATAGTGACTGAATGTTTAAAATAAATAAAAAATAAATAAATAAAAGGAATGGGCAAGGAAAAGCAAGAATTAGCAGACTTGTTGGTAGAACTGTAGTGTACATAAGACAAAGTGGTATATTTTATTTAGTAGTAATAAGGGTTACACACATCATATTTTAGGTGTATGCGTAGTGGGGTTCAGGACCGGGTACCACACCAAGATGACACACATACTTTATGTGACCTTGTGAGATACACCACATGTGAGCTCCACTGCGTAGATCAGATACCCACAGCATGAGTAGTTAGTTCTCTTGACTTTATTTAATTAATTACTAACTTTCTTCTGTAGTGAGCAATTGATCTATTCCAAGTAAATTTAAAATGTTCATCTGCAAGACTGGCAAGAGGACATGGATTCTGCAACACCATAAGTAGATTTTATTAAATATTAATGGAAATATGGACGTCAATACAAGCTGTTTTCAAGGAAGGGGCTTCCTTATCCTGATATAACCCTCTTCTAGAGTACTTCAAACTTTTGCTTCGCAGCTGACCACATGTATCTCATGATGTCTCCATAACACAATGTCCAAGTGCAAGCAGTCTCGCTCTGCTTCTAGTCTGGTCTTCTAAGGGGTAACTAAGTAGAGCAGAGCTTATAGGCTTTATAATCAATGATTAAGGAAAAGACAACTAGGATGATTCAATTAATTTTTTCAGAACTTGGAAAAGAGAAATCTACCCTGTTTCTGAAGAAATCAAGATGAATATGTTGTATTTGGGGACTTGAGCTAGAAAATCATGACTTGTGTGCTCTTCAGAGTAGTAGACAGAGGAAGGTATAAAGAGGCATCCAGGAAGAATAAGAGGGAGCAAACAGGCCAAAGAAACCACAGCTACATGGCCTCTGCAAGAAAGGGGCTGCTTCCTGTACTCCTGGCCATGTCTCCATTGTCAATTTTATGCAATCATCTGCCCAGCCTTTTCATTCCTAATGTATATAACTTCACAGAACCTCCTATAATGCTCACCATAACCTAAATGTACTTGAAAGTATGTCTATTCCTACCTCCAAATGACTCCCTAATGGGAATCCACAAGATGACAACGAGCAATTTAGTCAGGTGGATAACAGGGAGAAGGAGGGGTGTGACTTATTTCCTCTGTTTCTCATTTTCCTTGAAAGACAGCTCTACATTTGCCTTGCCTATCACATATACAGTCATGTAAGCCCAAGAAAATTCTTCTTTTCCTGGTTTCCAAGGCTAACAACAAACAGAATTGTGCCAAATTGACAGAGGAAGGTAGAGGTCATTGGCTCAAAAACCAGAATTGGTTTTCTGTAAGTATTAGGAGAAGAACTGCTGAATATGAAAGGAGGCTCATTTTCAATAAACCAGTAGTTCTCTCTAAAACACTTCAGGAAGAACTACGAGGACTTATGATACAAAAACTGGACACGGAAAACAGAAGACAAGATCAGAGGGAAGAATTCAGCAGGAAAAATCAGTCACTAGAAGTAGCTTTGAGAACCTCATGAGAAAAAATAATATTCTTTCTCTATCAGAAAACAGTATGTAAGAGATGACTAGCCATCCAACTCTTTAACATATTTATAGTAATTTATGACACTTTCAATCATTACACATTTTTGCAGGATATAGAATAATTTTTAAAAGCAAGTATACAGACTATAATTAACACATCAATATTAACGTATTCACCACCTTCAACATTTAACATTATATTACAGTCTGAATATTCAAAACCCACTCCACTGGTTATTCTGGAAATGTGTACTGAATTATTGATGATATTTTCTACTGCAAAACACATTTGTGAAGAAAAATAAATTGATTAAAAATACACACAGTGATATATAGGGATTAAATTTATAAAATAAAATTTAAAATATAGACATAAATTAATGAGGATGAATTTTTGAAAACAAAGATATTGACTAGCTAATATATTCTAAATTGGAAAAATGTTTAAAGTGTATCCAACAAACTGACAAAAGATAGCAGTATGAAGAAGAGTTGAGAAGACACCCTTGGACACTTACATCTATCAGTGAACTTCTGTATGGTCGAAAGATAAATGGATGTTGTAATCTGGCATTTGCTTCTTTGACAGAGGCATTGAAAGCTTCATCCACAAGGGGATCCGCATACCGTGGAAACCCTGAAAACACAAGTACATGGAGCCTCAGTGAGGCTTCACACAAGGTGGCTTCAGTTATTAAGAGCAGGTGACCCTGTTGTTGTGTCTTACCTGTGCATGGCCGGTAGTTGATTCCAAGAGAAAACATAATCAAGATTATCATCACCATTTTCTCCATCCTGGGAACAACAGTTTTAGTTCAGAGTAAGTGCGATTGTCTCTCTAGAGGTTTAGAAGCAGCAGTTCTTCCTGAGAGTACTTGTCTTTATAAATAGGACCTATCTGTGTTTTCTGGTTGCAGTAGCCAGTAAGTTAATCAAAAAACCTTTGGTCTCAGCGTCAACATTTACTGCTGACAGTACCAATAAAGAGGTTTCAGTTTGAGAATATTTGTGAAGTTTAGAGCTCACCAAGGACTTTAACCCACCACCAAACACATCAAGAGGTTCAGGATTCCATGTATGCTGCTTATTTCTCTCTATTTTGATTGAATTATTTAAAGAAAGGATATATTATTTATGTTCAATAAAATGATTTATTTAAAATATTTGCCTATTTAGTTATTTAGTCCTAAGGATCTCACAGTTAAATGTGCATAAATACAGAATATTTCAAGACCTTTTAAGAAACCATAGTTTTGGGACCAGCAGTTAGCGTAATGGCTCTGTCGCTGGACTCCCACGTAGTTGACCGCAGTTCGAGTCCCGGACCTGGTGGCTTAAACTCACGCCAGGTGCATAGGTGTGTGTGCCCAAGATCCCAAGAGGAAAATAGAGGAGAAGGGATTGCAGCGTGACCATCCCCCCTGGGGGGTGATTTCTCATTTTCTGTCTCTCTGGCTATCTCTGTCTGTCTGGCGAGCACATGCACACTATCGCAAAAACCTCCCCAAAAAAAAAAGAAAAAAGAAAAAAAAAAGAAACTATAGTTTTAAAGAAGAGAATTTTAATAATGTCGTAAATATTCCTAGAGAATACGCATGCAGCACTATGACCAACATTGTAGAGGTATGGGGCTCATGGCCCAGAGTTGGGGTAGGAGTAGTGGTGAACAGATGGAGGCATCTCCATTATGTCCTCTTTGGGAAGAGGAAAGGGTTAAATGGAACTGGCAGTTTTCAACTTCCTGAGGGCCATTTGCAGTTCGGTGAGACCTGGGAAAAATGTGCTCAAAGGGAAACCTGGGACAAAGCAGCCCTTGACATGAAAAATTATTGCTTTGCTTCACTTCAGTTTTAAATTTATTTACAAACACAAGAGATGGGTGTGAATACCAGACATAATGTGTGTGGAGGAGTGGAGCCTAAGGAAGGAGATCTGGAAAAGAGATATGGAGGCAGAGCATTGACAGGATTGGGAGGTGTGGTGTTATCGGTTGAAGATATTTTGATCAACTGGACTGGGGAGAAATGTTCACATATTGAAATATTCACTTTGTAAGCTAAAAAATGTGATTAAAAGTATTAAAAAAATTTAAAAAAGAATTACCATTATGTTATTAAATTATTGAAAGGATTGATTTCTTAGGAAGAATTTCCTCCACTAGATCAGTTTTTCTGGTCACTTCATTGTTTCAAGGAACAATGATCCATGTAAAGAGAATTTGAACTACCTGGTAGGCTACAAAGGGAATTATTTCTACCAGGTCAAGAAGATCCCTTGATTTCTTAAAAACCAACAAAAATAAGGTCTGGTTACAGAATGAAAAATGCCTATATTTCAGAATAAATCTGTCTTATTTAAAAATATTCATATAAATTTTTTATTTGGAGTCTCAAATGTACTCATCATCCTTTTAGCAAGTACTTGAGAAAATTTTTCTGAATATATGATAGAATTGTATTTCAGACACAGGATATATAAAAACAGTTATATTGTAGTTAATCTACTTTCTATATTAATGATATTTACTGTGAAGTTTGTCATTAACAGCTTGCATGGATTGGGTGTTGTACTTGTTCTCTCACTTATTGACTAAACAAATATATAACAGTAATTCCATCTAGGGGCTTTGGTATACCATGAACAAGATTGTTATTATATCTTGTTATTACTTATATAGTTATTACTTAGATCCTAATTCAAATATGAAAATTAAACTTAGCATACTATGCCTGTTGCATCACATATATCAAATTTATTGACTTCCATATTGTGTTTAAAAAATGCTGTTGATAATGTATTTTGACACCTTTGCAACTAGAAAGAACTGAAAAGGCCACTAGGGTATATTTTCCAGGTTTCAGTTAAGAACCTAATCCAAAAGAAATTAGGCAAACCATCTAAGATCTGCGTTCTACTATTAACAGGTTGGGTAATTTTGGAGTTCTCTTTTTCTGAGATGTAGAATTTTTATTTTATTTATTTTTTGAGATATTTTTGCTATAGGGTACATGCTCTTTCTAGAGAGGGAGAGAGAGAAAGAGAGACAGAAAGTGAGAAGTCATCACCTGGGGTGATGGTTACACCACAATACTTTCTCCCTAATTTTCCTCTCAGGATTTGGGGCACATGCCCAGTGTGAGTTTAAGGCTGCCAGTTCAGGACTCCAATAATGGTTGACCATGTGGGAATCTAGCATCTTAACCAATATGTCACCTGCTCACCCCAAGATATCTAGCATTCTTATTTATATGATAAGAAAATTAAATTACAGAAGGAGTTCTCAAAGTATGGTCTGGAGCCCATCAAGAGCTGTTTAAGGGTATTCAAGGTCAGAGCTATGTTATAATACTAAGACATCATTTATCTTTTACACACTTATTCTTTCATGAGTATACAGAGGAGATATTCAGATGTTACCTGTAAGTGATATTGTAACACACTCAAAATAAAAGCAGATATGAAGACCAAGTTACTTTCCAGATATTAAAAAAAAGATTTGCCACTCTTTTTCATTAATGAATCATTTTATTAATTTAAAATATTTTTTAAATTTTAATTTTTTATACATTTAATCACTATACATCACTTAGCTTGTAAAGTGAATATTCTAGCATGAATACATTTCACATTAATCCAGCTAGGGATATTACACACGTTATCATCAACAGATGTCTTGCCTCTCTATTTTTCTACTTAATTTCTTTCCTCACATTCTCCTCCTTCTCCCACCCTCTTTCCACACTGATTCTAGTATCCATAATCATTTCTCATGCTTCTATATTCTCTATTTTTATTTTCATCCATAGAGTGTGTACAGTCTGTATATATTAAGTAGAGACATACAATGTCTCTCCTTCATAGTCTGGCTTGTTTTATTCAGCAGTAAATCTTTATTTGTCCACTTTCTACCAAAAGCCAGGGTCTTGTTTTTTATGACTGAGTAATATTCCATTGAGTATATGTGCCACAGTTTTTTCAATCCATTCTTCTGTTAATGGACATTTGAATTGGTTCCATGTCTTAGCAATTGTGAATAATGCCACAATAAACATAAATGTGCAAAGTTTTATGACTGAACTTCTCCTGTTCTTTGGGTAGATATCTAAGAGTGAGATTGCTTGGTCATATGGTAGTTCTATTTGTACATTTGAGGAATCTTTATATTGTTCTCCACAGTTGTTGGACCAATTTACATTCCCACCAGCAGTGTAGGAGCATTCCCCTTTTACCACAAACCTATCAACACATTTTTTTTTAAATCTTCATCATTCTCACTAGGATTCAGTGGTATTTTATTGTGGTTTTCTTCAGAATCTTCCTTATGATGAGGGATGTTGAGCATGGTTTATATAACTTTTGGCTGTTTATATCTCTTTCTTAGAGAGTTGTTTTTTTCAGCTCATTTTCTCATGTTTTAATTGGGCTCATCTTTTTTATTGGGGGGGTGGTGAGGGGTAAGTCACTTGAGTTCCGTGGGTATTCTGGTTGTCAGCCCCTTATCTGAAGCATAGTTTACAAAAATATTCTCCCTTTACAAGAGTTTTCAATTCACACTAATTACTGTATCTTTTGCCATTCAGAAATGTATTAATCTAAAGTAGTCCTACGTGTCTAATTTTGGATTGCTGGCTGTGCTTTGTGGGTCCTATTTAAGAAATCTTTGCCTACCCCTTTCTGTTAATATAATGTATTACATTTATGGTTTTGCATATGTTGAGCCACCCTGGCATCCCTGGTATAAAGCCTACCTGGTCATCATGTATAATCTTTTTAATATATTGTTGGATACAATTTGATAATTTGAATTTGAAGTTCATAGCAATTAATGCTCTTGAAGAGCTGGTCTGTTGTTGATAAATTTTTTCAGGTTTGTTTGCCTAAGAAAATTTTTATCTTTACTGCCCACATGACGGATAATCTTGCTGGTTATAATAATCTTTGTTGAAATTGTTTCTTTCTTACCACTTTGAATATACTTTCACAGTCTTTCCTTGCTTACATTTTTTTACATTTACACTTCCGATGTTAGCCTGGTAGGATTAACCTTTTTAAGACATTGTCATTTCTTTCTTGCCAATTTTAGTATCTTGTCTTTATCTGTGTTTTTGGGTTTTTTTTTGTTTTTTTGTTGTTGTTGTTGTTGTTGTTTTTGAGAGAGGTTTTTGCTATAGGGAGCGTGCGATTGCCAGACAGACAGAGAGAGACAGAGAGACAGAAAGAAAGAAATCACCCCCCCAGGGTGGATGGCCACGCCACAATCCCTTCTCCTCCATTTTCCTCTCGGATCTTGGGCATGCACGCACACGCACCTGGCATGAGTTTAAGCCACCGGGTCCGGGACTCGAACTGCAGTTGACTACGTGAGAGTCCAGCGACTACCTGGGAGTCAAGCCATTATGCCAACTGCTGGTCCCTTTATCTGTGGTTTTGACCAGTCTGTCTATGATGTGTCTTGAAGAGGATAATCTTGGGTTGATTTTGTTTGGTGTCCTTTGTGTTTTTTGGGTCTGGATGTTTAAGCGCTTTTCTATACTTTGTAATTTTTCTTCCAGATTTTATGGAATAGATTTTCAATACCCTTATTAGTTTCTTCAATCCCAAGACACCACTTATTTGGATGCTTGAATGTTTAATGGAATCTAGTATTTTTCATATATTATTTTTATTTTATTTTGTGTTATTTTCTCTATCTTTTTTGTGGTTTTATTCTAGGTTGTAGGTTTTGTCTTGTACATCAAAGATTCTATCTTCTGCATGAATCTAATTGACTTTTAATACTTTTTAGAGAGGTATTGACTTTCTGTATAAAAGTGTTCATCTCTAACAGTTCCATTGATTTATTTTTATTTTTAAGGTGTTCCTTTTAAAATAATATATTTTATTTAATTTTAA